TTGTGATTGGTCGTCATGGAAGAAACGCGTAGTGCCGTCAGCGCTCCCCGCGGATCTTATACGCGTTATTAGCGTTTTATTATATACTAGCTCTAAGTGTAACTCGGGGCTCGTTGGACTCACTGGGAGTGGGTACCGATTTTGGAGACAATGAATTATAAAAGTCGCAAATGTTGTAAGACGAAAGCTTAGAATTTGTGATAAGGATTAGTGATATGGATTGGAGATAAGGCTAGACGCTTTGGCGGGAATGTTAAAAGTTTGAGCGTCTAGCAATCCGTCACAAACGTTGTAAATGGATAGGCTGGGTACGATCTCCAGGATCACCTATATACTATATAGAGTATACCTGCACATAGAGTGGCATGTGCCGTAGCATGACCGGTGCTTTATCTTATGTAAAAAGTGTAAAGTCGAAAACCGTGTTGGAGTTTCTAGCAAGTCAGTCATCTCAAGACAAAATCTATTACCTTTCAAGTTAGCCACTTAGGTAGGCAATCCGACTTCGTCGGATCACGGACAACGTGCTACAAAATTTCAGGTAGGCAATCCACCTGCGGTGGATTGCAGACCCGATGTCAAGCGGCTATAAGTGAAAACCCTATCACACAACTTACGAAATAATTTACGAAAAATTCAAACTATATACAATATACATACAAACAAATATGATATGTATTTATTGTGTGATATAATATAACAATGAACACTTTGAGAAAAGTGCAATTATAATTCCTAAAAAAAAATTAACATATATAGGTAGATAGTTAGATACTTAGATACATACCTACTATTATATTAACCAATACAATAAGTACATATAAACACTACCTATAATGTATATATATTAATTAAAAAAAAAAAAAAATGCAAAAACCTGCATGTTAAACTGTTAAAGTGTCTGTCAAGTCAATCATCACCGTTTAAGACGAAACTAAAATGAGCAATCCGTCTATCACCTATATATAGTAGGTATATCACATAGAGTGGTATGTGGCTTCGCATGTCCGGTGCCATTCCTTATGTAAAAAGTGTAAAGTCGACAACCGTGTTGGAGAGTCTAGCAAGTCAGTCATCTCAAGTCAAAATCGATTAACTTTCAATTTAGCCACCTAGGTAGGCAATCCGAAATAAAATACAACTATATTTATATAACAATCATGGACTTTTTGAAAAAATATGCAATTATAATAATTCCTAACAAAACAAATATAATATGTACCTATTTATTGTATGATATAATATGACAATGACTTTAAATAATAATAATGTACGATATGTTCCTGTATTATTATATTATTATTTAATTTATATTAAAAATTACGGAAAAAAAATGCAAAAAATATTCGGGATTCGGGCGGCCGTGTAAACCGTATGGCAACGACCGCAGCGACGCCCAGAGAGCGTACGGCGGGTTCGAACCCGGGACCTACGTGTTTTCTACCTAACGCCTAACCTACTCGGACACAATTTGAGATATGAATTACGGTCAAAACATCAACACTTAAGCCGTGCGTTTAAGGAGCGACGTAAGCCGATATATTCGATGTTCATCGATGTAATCGCATATAATTCGCTTGTAATACGCGCATCTCCCATATATATATTTAACGGAGCTCGTGAAAAGCGTTTTCCGTTAATAATTATTAAATCAATAGGCAAAAATTAAATTATACACGTACATACATGTATATATACGCGTACGGTCGGTCGTAATTTCTAAACGCGATTGCGAAGCGAACCGACCGATTTCGTAAGAAAAGCGTATATATACGGCTTTAGAAAGACGTCAACTACACGATTCGGGCACGATGGACGTGCGAAAAGACGAAACTGTCGGAGAAAACGAAAGAAATCGGCAAAAAAGTCCGGCCGGGAGCGTATTTTGCGATCGACATTGCGACGGCTACGGACGGCGAACGGATATAAACCGCAAACCGGCGGCTTCGAGAGATCGCGAGCTACGCGAATCAAATATGAATATGAGCGAAAAAGGCTAGAAAACGGTCGAAATCGTGTAAAAAGTGTAAATTTCGAAAATTTCGAAAATGATAAGAAAAGAAGTGATAACGCGGTTATTGCCCGCCGCAGAATCTGAACGTTGCGATTGGCCGGGCCGGAAAAACGACACAAAGTCGTCTATCCCCGTGGACAAAACTGGGGACTAACCTCGTTTTATAATATAAGAGATTTTGAAATCCCTCTTGATTGTTTCCTGAAACATAATTATATATATAGTATTTCTTTATTAGTTTACATATACCTAGCTTCTTATTTATTTATTAAATTATTTGTTTATCTCTAGTTTAATTATTATTATTGTATATTATTATTTTTTTTATAACTTATATTTTATTTTTTTGTTTATTATTATTATTTTTTTTTTTTTTTAATTAATTAATTAATTTATCTTGGTGAAGGTGGTGGAGTAAAGGGTGTCTCTTCATAATTTCGTACGTAGTCATTTCTATTGGGTGTCCTATATCTAACTATTCTGTGGTCCTGATATACTTGCATTTTATCATTATGTAAATTGCTATTATTAGTATAATAGATATTATTGCCAGTACTATTGTTACATATAGCAAATTACTGTGTACAAATTGATGTTTTTGATTTTGTTCTCTTAAAAGTTCTTGGTTAATCATTTGTTGTACTTCGTCTAAAGATTTGGATGCATCGTGTAAATCTGTGAATTGCATAGCTGGTCCCTTTTCCCATTTTTCATCTGTTTCGAATTTGTGTATATGTTCGGGTATTTTTTCTAAAATATTATTCATGTTAGTTACAGGTGTGAAGTCTTTATATTTTGTATTTTGGATTTCTTCCGTGGCAGTTAATAGTGCGTCCCGTGCAAATACTTGGAAACTGATGTCGTTTATAGCTATTTCTCCTGCTTCATTTGTTTGTATTATGAATGGATCTATTAGGTTAGCGCAACTTACTGTTAATGTCTCTTTTCCTGCATGAATCCATATATTTTTTATTTTTAATTTTTGGTATATGCTTCTCTTTAAATTAATTTTCTTTACTGTACATAACTCAGGATTAGAATATGTGTCAGATTTCATGAAGTTTTGCACTTCGCATGGTTGGCGTTCATTGTTGTCCTGTACAGGTTGTGGTGTATTACATATTTTGTATATTGATGTTTCTTTACATTCGTTTAATTGTTGATCTGTGTATGTAGTAAATCTTTTATAACCTTTGGTTACAGCAATATTATTGTAAGTAATGTCCGCTAGGTACCATCCACTAGAATTATCTTGTTTATGACGCACTGGTGTTAACCTGTATAATGTAAGCTCAGTATCAATAATCAATGGTATTACTATATCAAATACTAATCTGTTGTTCGAATAGTAGATTCTTATTTTTGTAATTTTTTGAAATTCATTTAGTTCCCATCTCCTTGTTCCCATCGTAATACTGTATATTTTCTTTATATTTTGTTCTATTGTTTTTAATGTTGATGCTAGTTCTTGCGGTGTCATAAGACTTGTATGTATCATACCTTCTCTAGCGGCAGTTACTATTTGTCCCAATGTTTCTGTTTCATAGGAATATTGATTTATTATTATTGTATACAAATTATGTATTTCATTTTTCATTAGTAAATCTAATATATCGTTTGTTTTGTTTTGTATTTTTGACATTTTTTCGCATAGTTGTTGTTCCTTTTCCGTAATATTATTGTATAATTGTTCGGTTTGATTTATTGTATTACCAATACTTCTTATTGTTGATTTTACTACAGTAGTTTGGGTTTCCATTATGTGTAATATGTTAGTTAATGATTCTTCCGTTTTTTTTTTATAGCTTCTCGTGTTTTCTTAGTGCATTTATCATCACATACGCCAAATAATGTATGCATGGTGTTACCTATTATGTTTATTAATCCTCTTTTCTTTCTTTGTTTATCATCCTCTATAGTACTTCCTAGTGACATATACGTACGTTCCTTCTATTTAGTTATTTCATTATATAAATCTATAAAAGTATAAAGTATATTCATATTAAACTAACTATCTTATTATAATTTTATAAAATTAAAACCATCTTATATAATCCAATATATCTCTAGCATCGTGTAAAAGTTTCATATAATCTATTAACCGTTTACATAAGGTATTTGTGGGTGTTACTGAATCTGATGACAAATCGTACATAATTAGTGTTAGAATTCGCGTAATTTTCGTTATTTCGAGAGTACCAAATGGTTCTTCCATAAAATTATTCACGGTATTAATATGTCCTATTAAACACCTCGGCGTGTGTTCCGGTCCTAAAGTATATGTTTCATGAATTTCTTGTTCGATCCTAGTTCCACAATGAATTTTCTTTGTCTGTTCCTAAAATTAAAATTTATTTATATCGTATTTATTTTATTTGTTATTATTTTTTTTTATTAATTTTTTTGACTAGATTTATCGTATAAAGAACCATGGATCCCAGTAAACCAGATGAAACCCGGATTCGTACCTACGTCATTCGAAATCGTGCGTATATATATATATATATTTTTTATTTATGAATTTATTTAATGCATGATCATTATTTTTATATTAGCTCAAGGTCCAGACATAACGATGGAGATTGAATGGCCAGAGGGGTTTACCCCTCCACCGGACCATGTTGTGAGTGCAATTCTTTTATCGGACGATGAAGATGATGATTCCGATTAATTAATTTAAAGAGAAAACTGATTATTAGACTGAATTAATTTTCATGATGTTAATTATCATATATATTTTTTGTTTAATAAATCAGTTTTTAATCTTTATCTGAATCACCTTCTATTGGAATAAAATTACATTGAGTCATTAATAATTTTCTGAGAATAAGTTTTTATAATATAGTAGGTCTTCTGGTTCCGGAATAATGTCGATAAAATCTATTAGGTCCTGACAGTTAATTTTTCCCAAATCTTCCATTCTGTTCTCTGTCATATCTTGCAGAAACGTTTTTATGTTATAGTTCTTCTTCTTCTTCTCTTGGCTTTACAATTCTTTAAGAATTTTGGCCGCCACCGTCACCGTTCTCCAATAATCACGATCCTGAACTCCATCTTCCCAATTTGTCACTTCCAATGTTTCTAAGTCCTTCCTTATTCCATCCATCCATCTAGGCCTCCCTCTTGGTCTTTTCCCTGTCGGTTGCCACTCCATCACTGCTCTCGTATTAGTGGTTTCTGTTTTCCGCATGGTATGACCAAACCATTTGAGTCTTTGACACTTAATGTGGCTTGTTAATAGTGGAACTTCAGTGATACCTCTTAGTTCAGTATTTTTTCTTCTACGCCAATTATTTAGCTCACTATCAAACACTGGACCACAAATCTTCCTCAATATTTTATTTTCAAAAACTAGCAGCCTTTTTCTGACTGTATGGTAGTGGGCCATATTTCACAACCATAGGTAACCATTGGTCTTAGTATGGTCATGTACAATCTGATCTTAGTCCTTCTGGAAAATAATTTTGATTAGAAAAATTTATGTAACGCGAAATAGGCCCTCTCTGCCTTGCGTATACGACTTATGATTTCGGTACTCCAATCATTGTTATTGGTAATCGTCGTTCCAAGGTACTCGAACTCTTTAACTTTCTCAAAAGTATAGTCATTGATAACCACGCTTTCTTCCCCATTGGGAAGTAATTCCATTACTTTTGTTTTATCTTGGTTTATTTTTAATCCTACTGATTTAGCATCTTCTACAAGTGTGTTTATATTCTGTTCAACTATTTCCATGCTATCACCAATTAGGTTTAAATCGTCAGCAAATCCTAGTATATCAATTTGTGTGGTACCTATATTGGTTCCCAGGTTGTTATTTTTTACACTACGTATTATTTTCTCTAATGCTATGTTAAATAATAGTGGTGAAAGCGCGTCCCCTTGTTTCAACCCAGTTATGACTTCAAATTCCTCGGACAACGTTTGGTCTACTCTCACTTGATATTTCGTGTCATTCATGCACATCCTTGTTAGAGCGATAAGTTTCCTCGGGAAACCAAATTCTTGCATAATATTGTAAAGACTATCGCGGTGTATACGCTTTTCTGAAGTTGACAAAAACTTGCCAAATGTTTTGTCTAAACTCGTATTTTTTTTCTTTTAATTGCAACACTATTGTTAGCTGGTCAATTGTCGACTTACCCTTACGAAAGCCACTCTGGTATTCTCCAACGCATTTGTCGGCTATTGGTTCAAGGCGTTTTTGCTAAATCTTTGAGAATATTTTATATGCAGAGTTCAGTAAAGATATTCCTCTGTAATTGTTGCAATTGAGTTTGTCACCTTTTTTATATAGTGGGATTATTATGGCTTTTTTCCAATCATTTATCAGCACTTCTGTTTTCCAAACTTTGTTACAGATTTCATGAATAATCTTATGTAATTCTTGCTTGTATGTATTTTTCCCTTCCTTCATCGATTTTTAAGTTTTCTAAGTTAAGTAATTCTTCTTTAGTTTGAGTCTAAACCTGGAGACGACTATTGTTTGGTAACGTAGACGCATATGTTTACACTGTTGAGTTTCAAAAACACGGTCTGCCACACGCACACATACTCATCATCCTTAGCGATGGCAACAAGCTGCTCACAGCCGAGGATGTAGACGATGTCGTGTGCGCTGAACTGCCAGACCCAGCAGACGAGAACAATCAGAGACTATTCACAGCTGTGACGAGTCACATGATACACGGACCATGTGGGCAACTGAACCGCGACAGTCCGTGTATGGCTGAAGGGATATGTCTAAAGAAATATCCAAAGGCATATAATGCAGAGACAGTTTACGTTTCTGACGGCGGGTACCCCACGTACCGTCGACGAGACAACGGGATCGAGGCCCTCGTGAGAGATCACCAAGTCAGCAACGAGTTTGTAGTTGCCTACAACCCGTACCTGCTGGCCAAGTACGATGCACACATCAACGTATAGGTGTGTTCTACTGTGAAGAGCGTAAAGTATTTATACAAACACGTCTTCAAAGGCCACGACATGGCTACAGTAGAAGTCCAAGACAGAAATGAAATTGAAAAGTAAGCATCTGTTAATTTATTTCTTCATATACTATAACTGTTTTAACTCATAAGTAATTCGACTAAATAAAATAAAAAAGTTATTTTAAAAATGTAGCATACTTGGACAACGAAACAAAAGTTCTTTATTAACTTTGATGTATAAATCCTTAAATATTGTTACTATGATTTACAAAAAAAAACACTTATACTCAACTTATATTTTTAAATATTTATTCGTTTGTTGTTTTTATATGCAAATTAACAATATACTATAAAATAACTTTAAAAATAACTAAATATACTTTTCGGTTACTATGTTTTTGATATTATTGTTACATAATTAATTCATACAGTAGTACACTGACCTTAAAAAATATTTTATTTAATTTTTAAATTTAATTATTTTTATAAGTTGACATTGTAAATTTTTTACATTATATAATTATCTATATGGATGTCATATAAATAACTATATTTAATTGACATCCACAGCTATTGAGCAAGCATAAGTTAGACATGGGCTCGATTATGTGGTTAAATAGTAAATATATAACATACTATGTAGTATTTACTTGATTATGGCAGTTTTTAGGTGAGTCGTTTATATAAATTTAGTGTAGCATACAAATACTGCTACAGATACTAAATAATACAATATTAATAAACAAAATAGAACTTTATGTACCTATTTAATGAAAGTCTGAAAATTAAATTGTATAATGATATGTGACTATATCTATTTGATATAACTTATATAAGTAGAGTATTATATGGAATAAACTATTTATTAAATAATACATTAGGTAACACTTGATTTTATTATCTCCACCTATATTGTTTAACATGGGTTGGATTATATGGGATAGTCCTATAATATATACTTGAATAGACAATTTATAGTAATATAACAAACCTACAAGTATACTCTATGCAGTACTAAATATATTACAGTTTTTAGGTGAGTTGATTGTTTGAGGTAATGTAATTTGGTAATTATAAATTTTATGTATGATACAAAACTGCTGCAGATACTATATAATACAATAATTTATTATAAACTTATAGATCTTCATGTATTTAATTAAATTCTGGCAGTTAAATTTTATAATGATATGGCTATACTATTTGATATTACTTATGTAACTAGGTTTATGGAGGATATTACAATATATAATTATTGATCGATATGACTATACTATAGGTAGGTTAATTCATGAGCATAAAATCAAGTTAATTAATAGACAATTGATAAATAACTATATATAATTGACATCCACAGCTATTTATCAACACATCTGAGTTAGACAAGGGCTCGATTATGTGGTTAGATAGTAAATATATAACATACTATGTAGTAGGTACTTGATATATTACAGTTTATATAAATTTAGTGTAGCATACAAATACTGCTACAGATTCTAAATAATACAATATTAATAAACAAAATAGAACTTTATGTACCTATTTAATTAAAGTCTGAAAATTAAATTGTATAATGATATGACTATATGTATACTATTTAATAAAACTTATATAGATAGAGTATTATATAAAATAAACTAACTAATAGATCTAATAGAACTAATCAAATTCTGGCAGTTAAATTGTATAATATAAATTTTATTTTTGTTATTTATTAAAATGTATTATTATTATTATTATGACTACTCATAACATTATTGTGTATTAATCGAACGAATTTTGTTTGTTTCAGTTACATCAATGCTCGGTACGTCAGTCCGCCAGAAGCAGTTTGGCGACTGTTTTCGTACGAGTTGCATAAGCCGAGTCACAGGGTGATCAGGCTCCCAGTCCATCTGGAAGACTACCACATGGTGTACTTCGCTCCGGGACAAGAACTGGAGCGTGTGCAAAACGCAGCGCAGGCCTGAACAAGACTCACGGCGTTCTTCTCGCTCAACGAGACGGACCCCGAGGCCAGACAGTATCTCTACCATGAGATACCGATGCATTACACCTGGGTGGAAAGAGACAGGAAGTGGAATCGGCGCCGAAGGGTAATGGCCAACGAGACGTTGTCTCGGATGTACGCGGTCAACCACCTAGATCGAGAGCGATTCCTCTTGCGACTGCTGCTGCTGCACAGGAGAGGTCCTCAGTCGTTCAGAGACATGAGGACCGTCGACGGGGTCGTGTATCCGACGTACGCGGCGGCGGCGGTGGCGCTTGGACTCCTGGAGGATGACCAAGCCCTGCTGGCGTGCATGACAGAGTCCGCGGCCGTGGACACTCCCGCACATCTGCGTTACCTACTGGTGACGATCCTGCTGTACTGCGAGGCCGCGGATCATATGGCGTTATACATGGCAAGCGAGGAAGACCTGAGGCAAGACTTCTTCCACAGACTGAGAGACGAGGACCGCGCGAAGGCCGAGTGCCTGGACGCCATCGGGTGGATGCTGCGGGGTCATGGTAAAACGCTGGCCGACTACGGGTTGCCGAATCCGGACGTCGCGCTGCTCGAAGAGGACGCGGGCGGAGACGTCTACACCTTCGTCGACGCAGTGGTGCGTTGGACCCTGCAGTTGGACTACCTCAACGACGAACAGCGGGCGGTTTACGACCGCGTGATGGCGGCCGTCGAAATGTTCTACGTCGACGGGCCCGGGGGTACTGGGAAAACGACGCTTTACAGCTGCCTAATATGGTCGCTCCGCAACATGGGCAGATCCGTGTTGTCTGTGGCGTTCACGGGAATAGCGGCGACGCTCATGGACGGTGGTATGACCGTTCACTCGACGTTCGGTTTGCCCTTCGGTACACTCAACGAAGATTCGACGTCGTCCATCGCCATGCAGTCTCTGCGCGCGCATAGGATACGGGAGGCGGCACTCATCGTCTGGGACGAAGCGCCCATGTCTCCGGGGCTCCAACTGACGGTGGTCGACCGGTTGCTAAAGGATATAATGCAATCGGAACTACCGTTCGGTGGTAAGACGGTTCTATTCGCAGGTGACTTCAGACAGATACTGCCGGTGGTCCGCAGGGGGACGAGGGCCGCGATCGTGGCGGCTTCAATCAGGCACCATCATCTGTGGGACGTCTTCGAGCGTTTCAGCCTGACGCAGAACATGAGGGCCAACAACGACGCGGACTTTTCCGCCTGGTTGCTTCAACTCGGCAGCGGCCAGCTGCCCGCGGTCGACGGAAATGTGAACACCGTCGAAATCCCCAGGAATATGGTATGTGACATAGCTAATTTGATTGATTTTGTTTACCCGCAGCAAATGTCATTGGCTAACGTCGACGACTTTGCTTGGAAAATTATTCTCTGTCCCCGGAACGAGGATTGTAGACAGGTCAATCGCACGGTGCTGCAACGCGTCACGGGTGCCGCGAGAACCTACACCGCCAT